AGCAGCTGCGACAGCTCTGACAGCCACAGGCCAGCTCAGTAATTGACGCTGCAGCCGCAACGACACATCCTGAGGCCGGCTAGAGCTGGCCCGATCATTATCTTGCAGTCCGGCCACTTCGGTAATGAGGCCGCCCCACCGGCTGCCTCTGGTGGCCTGAGTCGTTCCGGCGAAGAAAGGCCTGCTGCCTCTGGCTGGCCCTGCAGCACCCATCACAGGCCTGGGCTGCTGGGTGGCCCTGAGACAGCAGGCCCCCCAGGGAGCCCCCTCCGCCCGAGGCTCCGGCACGACTTGTCTGTTTTTATTTCCTGGTGAGCCCCAGGTCGGCAGATGCACCCTTTTTCAGGCCAGATGAGACGTCACCTTGCAGGGCGGGCTGGAGAGTGGTCCCAGAGGCACCATCCCCCACACAGGACCCCTCCCTCGCCCTCTGACCCTCCAGACAGGGCGCTGTGCCTCTTGGAGGCCCCCAACCAAGGGAGGCCCCTGCCTCCAGTCTGCAGTCCCTCTGAGAAGTGTGGGTCCCATGTGCTCCCAAGCCTGTGTCACAGGTGGCCGCCACACACACACACACACACACACACAGCTTCCCATCCCTATGCTCCAGCTGCCCTGTGCTGCCCTGGAGACCCATAGGCATCTCACACACCACAGATCTGCGCCACCACCACCGCCCGCCCGCCCACCCTGCAGAAAGGGCACTAGAGCTGGCTGCTGGTAGCTCAGACTGGAAGCCACCGTCTCCCTGAGCCCACCCCCACCGCCAGTCCCCAGGTCCTGCTCAGGCTGTAGCAAGATGAGAGCTGGTTTGTAGTCCCTCCCCACCTCCTCCAGTAGCTTGAAACCTGCCCCATGGGAACATTCACCCCACGGAGGTCAGTCCACACCAGCCAGCCAGCGGCCAGGGAGCCTGCTGTTGAACACCGCGCTGATTATTCCCCCTGAGATTGGCATGGCTTCTTCCCGTTTGGCTCCTTGTCACCTGGGGCCAGGCCTTGGGCAGCTCCAGCCTGGACACGGGCACCACCCCCTGAGCAGGCTTTCTGCTCTACCTTGGTCCTTACATTCAGAATAACTCCTCTACAGGTAACAGCTCGAGGCTCCCAGGTGCCGTGGGAGGTGAGGCCGAGAGCCCGGGCCAGGATCCGAAGGCCCCCTGCCCACCACCACCACAGTTCTCCTGCCTGTCTGTGAGCCTCCCCGGGTGCAAAGCTTCCGTGCTCACAGCCCTCGGGAGCCAATGGATCGTCCCCACCCCCAGGAGGCATGACCCGGTGCCCGGGCTTGTAGACCTGCCCCCAGGAGGCATGACCCGGTGCCCGGACTTGTAGACCTGCCTGCTGCGTTTCCTATTGGTGCCAGCACACGTGGGACTGGTGGTTGGCACCGCCCTTGCTAGCTGAACTCTAAACTCCACGAGGGCAGGTGCTCTACTGTCCCATCCACGGCTCAGACCCTGTCACTGGTGCCTAAGATACAGCCTTGGTGGAGTGGATCTCATGACGGTTCTGTCGTGGTGGGCGCCGGCGTGGGGGGTCTGCTGGGGGCCAGCACAGTGCACAGGAGACAGAGGCAGGGGGTGCCAGGGCCACGTGCCATTGCCAGCTGATAGCACCAAGTTCATTCTTGCTCGTCCTTGCCTCCATCACCAGCTCCTGTCTCTCTTTCCAGACTCTGTGTGTTGAATGAATATATTGAGGGAGAGGAGGGGAGTGGTCTGCCCTAAGGCTTGTGGCTGTGCACACTCAGAGACCCCGCAGGGCTGTGAAAATGCACTCCCTACCTGGGCCACATTGTGTGACAGACATGTGTCCTCGCATGCACGCTGTGACAGATTGTGAGATGCACGGAGTCTGATCACAACACCACAGGTGCACGAGGCCTGTGTAGGGTACAGAGCGTGGGACGTGGGTGCTGACACCGCACACTGTAGGCGTCGCTGCTGGCTCTGACCAAGGGGGACTTGAAGCAGAAGCTGAGGGCCCCTCCCTTGTGGACAGGTGGGACGCTGGGGTGTGGGGGCTGGAGCACAACAGGACTCCCCAGCCCCCTCCGAGTAACGGGCAGATGGGCGTGTGCCAAGCGGGCAGGACAGCTGCTGGGATCGCAGGCCGGCTAACCGGCTGGCTGGTTGACTGACAGGCAGCTCCAAAGCCGGGCTCTCTGACAGCTCCCAGGGAATTCACAGCCCAGGCTGAGCTGACAGGGAGCTACCCAGGTGAATCGTGGATCGTAATCACAGAGGCGAAGGAACGGAATCGCAAAACAAAACAAGCCGCCGTCAGAGCCATCAGGTGCCCGTCCTCATCCAGATGGGAAGATTTTGCACTTTCCTCACCTGCAGGCGAGCCCCAGCGACAGCACAGCCACTGTCGAAGGAGCCGGGCTGGGAGGAACTGGCTGCTGCTGCGAGGGAACCCAGCATTCGGCAGGCTCGTGCTGCCTTGTCATGCCTTTTAAGATGCATATTTTCAGCCCATGTTACAGATAAGGAAACAGGTTCAGAGAGGTCAGGGAACTTGTCTCGGGACACACAGCAGGGCTGTGGCTTGTTCTTTTTGTTCTCTCTTGACATCCTGACCCCTTGATTAAAAGCAATGACTCAGGGGCTGGCGCTGTGGCTCAATAGGCTAATCCTCTACCTGCAGCACCAGCACACTGGGTTCTAGTCCCAGTCGGGGCGCCACATTCTGTCCCAGTTGCCCCTCTTTCAGGCCAGCTCTCTGCTGTGGCCCAGGAGTGCAGTGGAGGATGGCCCAAGTCGTTGGGCCCTGCACCCACATGGGAGACCAGGAGAAGCACCTGGCTCTTGGCTTCGGATCAGCGTGGTGCACCAGCCGTGGCGGCCATTGGAGGGTGAACCAACGGCAAAGGAAGACCTTTCTCTGTCTCTCTCTCTCTCTCTCACTATCCACTCTGCTTGTCAAAAAACAAAAAAACAAAACAAAACAATGACTCAGAGTGACTCCCCAGGCAAAGGGACAGGAAGTCCTTGCTCTGAGCCAAAGGGGGCTCCCTCTATAACAAGTCTGATATCCTTGGAGCAGCTGAAGGAGGTCCACCTACGGAGGCTGAGGCCATGTCTGTCCAGACTCCAGCCACCCCTCGAGGTCCACACTTTGGCCACAGAACCACCCAGAGCAGCTGGCAATTGTGTCCCTGGGGCCCCATTTGCGGGGGCCCCTGCTACACCTGTCCTGGGCAGCCAGGGTGGGCACGGCCACGACAGAGACCAGTCCCCAGGCTGAACCCCAGGCTGGGGCCCTAGCAGAGAATTTGAATTGAGTTTTCCTCTGAACACCACTGAAAATTTTTTTTGAGATTTTTTTAAAGATTTATTTATTTGATAGAGTTACACAGAGAGAGAAGGAGAGGCAGAGAGAGAGAGAGAGAGACGTCTTACATCCACTGGTTCACTCCCCAAATGGCTGCAATGGCTGGAGCTACACTGATCTGAAGCCAGGAGCCAGGACTTCTTCCGGGTCTCCCACATGGGTGCAGGGGCACAAGGACTTGGGCCATCTTCTACTGCTTTCCCAGGCCATACCAGAGAGCTGGATCGGAAGTAGAGCAGCCGGGACCCAAAACCAGTGCACATGTAGGATGCTGGCACTGCAGGTGGCGGCTTTACTTGCTACGCCACAGCGCCAGCCCAGGAGATTCATTTATTTAGAGACAGTTACAGGCGGAGAGGTCTTCCATATGCTGGTTCACTCCCCAGATGGCCACAACAGCTGGGACTGGGCTGATCTGAAGCCAGGAGCCTCTTCTGGGTCTCCCAGAAGTGCAGCGGCCCAAACACTTGGGCCATCTTGCATTGCTTTCCCAAGCCTTAGCAGAGAACTGGATCAGAAGTGGAGCAGCCAGGAGTCGAATCGGGGCCCACATGGGATGCCAGCACCGCAGGCATCAAGCCAGTGAGAATTTAAGGCCCTTCTGTGCTGTGTTCTCCAGCCAGTTTCTGGGCTGTCCTCTAACTGCTGAGAGCCTTGAAACTTTAGTTTTGCATCTCAGCTGCATCCATGAACAGTCTGCCCCTGATGGGCATAACTCCACAGCTGGCTGCTTTTCAGGACCCTGGACAGCTCCACGCGTGTGTTCAAGGAAGGGTGGCTTAGGGTACTGTCTCTGCTGCACCCCCCAAAGACCAGGTTTGCCACCAACAGTCCCTACTACCAGTGCCATGACCCTGACCTCCAAGTTCTCATACAAATGTATAATCTAGTTAAGAACCGTGGACTTGTTGAGTGACATAGTGACCTATGACACAGCCATGGGGCAGCTGGTCCTCCAGCCCTGGGGCAGCAGAGACCTCAGGAGGTCAGAACCCACACTGGTAGGAGAAGAGCCAGATGGAGGGGTATCCACTGCCTGTCTCTCGTCCCTGGAGTGGTCTCTGGCCCGGTGTGCTGCAGAGGCAACCATCTGTAGATGCTATAGGTCAAAGCCACCTGTTGGAAGTAGGGGTGAAAGCATTCTTCAAGCCCCTTGGGCTGGCACCTGCCACCCAGACTTGGCCCTTGCCAGGCTGTGGGGCTGGGCCAGGGAACTCTGGCTGGGAGTTGTTGGGCTCCTGCCACAACCCCGGGTTCCACTTCCTTGGGGAGAAGCCCAACACCTGTCCCAGGCCAGCTCACAGTCTGGGCAGCATCAGCCTTGCCACAAGCATTTATTGAGCTCCTGATGTGTGCCAGGCTTTCTGCCAAATGGACACAGATGGACAGGGCACAGTCTCTCCCCACGCCAAAGACTGCAAGAACTAACTCAATCCTTCACCTCCGATCAGGACAGGGAAACTATCTCGTCACCTCCTCTCGGCCAGAACTCTCCAGAAGCCCCTTGAGATCGCATCCCCCCTTGGGCTGGGTTAGTTGTACTCCCCTGAGAAAAGTGATACTAAAGTCCCAACCCTGGGTGCCTGCAACTCGTGGGACCTCACAGGGTCTCTGCAGGTGCAATCAAGTGAAAATGTAGTCATGAGGATAGACTTCCAATATCACTGCTGTCTTTAAGTTTTTATTTATTTGAAAGGCAGAGAAGGGAGACAGAGATCTTCTATCCACTGGTTCACCCCTTAGACAAACAGGTGAGGCTGAAGCCAGGAGCCTGGAACCACTCCCATATAGGCGGCAGGGACCCAAGCGCTTGAGCCATGACCTGCTGCATCCTGACTGTGTCTTTTTCAGAAGAGGAGAGACCTACATGGGAGGGAAGACAGAGGCAGAAACTGAACGTAGGGTGCCACAGGCTGAGCAGCTGTGCAGGCAATTGTTGGAGATGGTCAGCTTTTCAACCTGTGGACCGTGAGGAGACAAGTCACCCTCCATCACCCAGCCAGTGGGAAGACTTCAAAGACCAAGTAACCCAAGAAAGAAGGAATTCTGCCTCCAGGCTGCCCAGCCGCATTGCCGCAGGAGGCGACCCCTTAAATCTGCACTTTCCCCCCTCCTTTTCCCCTCCCTTCCTTCCTTCCTTCCCCCGTCCCCATATATAACTCTGACTGGTTCTGGCTCCTGGGAGAGCACCTTGTTCGGAGCCCTTCTGTGTTTGCTGTGGCGTAGGACCTGGAAGTCCCCCCTTGCCTTCTCCCCTGAGTCTGGTGGGCAGTACACTTCCTGGCTGCCTCTTCTATGGCTGGCATCCCTGCCTCTGAGGCAGATACTTCCACAGCTCAGCACTGCTGCCCGAGGTCACAGGCACCAGGCACCAACCACTGACACCCAAGGTCTTTCTTGAGCCCACATCCAGTGCAGGAGCTGCTTCCTGCTGATTGGGAAATGGGACACAGACAGCCCGTGCAGTTCAGGGCATCTGCATTTGGTTCCACCTCCATGCAACTGCCAGGGGAATCCAGGGCAAGACGCAGGCTTGAACTCAGGATCCTGCATGAGTCGGGTCACAAAGCTGCAGTTGGGGCCTCATCTTCAGTGTCTGCTGTGTCTGGGCCAGCCTGAGCCACGGGAAGCAACTAGAACCCTCGCGGTCTCCAGGCCTGGTGGGCAGCATGAGTGGACACATACAAGGACTGCGGGTTGTAGGGCAGCCTGCCACAGAGGCTCAGCCACCAGACTTGAGATGTAGGAAACATCACTCAGGAAACAGCTCCATCAGGCAACTCCAGGAGATTCATGATCCACACAACAGACTCATGGCCTCTCCTGGCCCCATGCCCATTTCTCTGTTGCTTTGACTCCTAAGCCTGCATATGTGTGAAGCCCCCTCCCTAGCTCTCTGCCCCAGACCTGGGCCACCTGACTTGATTATTAAGAACCCAATCTCACACTTGCTCATCAGCTGTTGCCACTCCTTCACAGGTAAGCAGGAAGCTTTTCAGCCAAATGCCTAGAAGAAAGCTCGGCCACTGTAGAGTTCACAGCGTGGAGTGCATCTGGCAGCCCCATAACTCACGCCTCGTTTATTCTCACCGACGCACACTCTTGCCGTACTGCGTGTGTTTCAGCCACTCTGCGATGTCACCTGTCCAGAAAGAGAAAGTGGTTGTTTATTTCTTACTGTGCAGGGAGACGGAGTTTGTGTACATATTTCAGCAGTATGTTCAGGGAGAGATAACTTGAAGAGAGCAAGTGCACGTTGGGGGCAGGCGGAGTCATGGCTTACGTCACTCAACAAGTCCACGGTTCTTACCTAGATTATACATTTGTATGAGAACTTGGAGGTCGGGGTCACGGCACTGGTAGTAGGGAGTGTTGGTGGCAAACCTGGTGTTTAGGGGGTGCAGCAGAGGCAGCACCCTAAGCCACCCTTCCTTGGGCACGCCGTGGAGCTGTCCAGGGTCCTGAAAAGCAGCCCGCTGTGGAGTGTCCTGACTCCGCCTCTCTGTACCCCAGCTTCTTGGCTTTGGCTTGCCTACAACTTAGAGTATTCTTGGCTGTAGCTGTTACCTGAGACACACATGGGGAAGCAGAGTTCTCCAAGGAAAAAGGGAGAATATCAGGGTTTCGGTCACTGGGAGAGTCCTTTGCATCTCCTTTAATTTCTGCCATTATCCAAAGGCAGGCTTGTGAGGATAGGGTTAATCTGTGCCCCACAAGCCACCAGGAGCTTAAGGATCAAGACTACATTCTGTTCCTGGCTCTGTCGTGACACACAAGACAATTTTTATTTTCAAAGGCAACAATTGCAGCCAAGCTCGCTTGGTGAGGGAATGTGGCCAAGAGGTCAGGAGATTCACCCAGCCCCAGGCTTTGTCCAGTACAAACTTGCCCTCCAGCCCATGCTGAGGGCTCTAGCATGGCCAGCCTCGGAACCTCCCTTAGGCTCAGAGCCTGGAGGTCCAGGAGATAGCCCCTCCTAGCCAGTGTGGGCCAACGAAATGGGACAGAAACCACAGCTCAGCACCCTCCCAGGGTGCTGGTGGGAAGTCAGAGCCTCCGGGGACGCAGCCCCGATAAGGACATCCTTGTCAAGCTCGCCGACTGGCAGGGCGCCTTCTGGAAGTGGCTGCTCAGTCCCCTCTCGGCCAGATCTGGCATGACTCATTGGCTGCAGAGAAGGAGTATGAATAAGCGGCGTCACACCTTGACAAGCTGACAGCGGTGACAAGCAGAGTAAATTCCCGTGTCTGAGACTCCGAGGAGGAGAGGTGATTTAGCAGAGCCAGCTGCCGTCACCAGAAGAAAATAATTAAGGCGAGCCGGCGGTGCAGAGGAAAGCTGCATGGGCACAGCGGGGCCCTGCCGGTGAAGGGACCTGTCATCCTCACCGAACGAGCAAACCCCCACAGCTGGCGGAGAAAAACCAATTCAGGAAGCCGGCATGAGGAGGTGGGGGAGGCCGGCGAGGTGGGAGGGGGACACGGTGAGGGGCTTCTGTCTAGAAGGTTCCTCTGTCAGGCCAGGTACTCTCTACTCACCCCACACTCCAAGGATGCAGCCAGTTCTACACAGGGCTTCCCCTTGCCCCTGGAAGCATACACAACACACACACACACACACACACACACACACAGGTGCATAACCTGGGGTGCCCAGCAGCTGGAGGCACTCTGCCGCCGTTTGTCCCAGGGAAAGATGCACTGCTGTTTCCAGCCCACAGGGGTGGGCAGAAGAGACAACATTCCCAGGTTCTGCCTTCATTTCTGCTTCTCAGGACTTGGGGATGGTTCCAGCAAACTCAGGCTTTCCAGCCCCGAAGTGAGCTTTGTGCCCCCCCGCCTTGCTGAGGAGTGGAAGGGACATTGGGCACAGCCTCAGTTGGCCAGTGTTGGGTCAGGCCCTGGCACAAGCTCAGTGTGTAAGGCCGGAATCCAGGAGGAATCCAGGAGCTCCACACCAGAGAAGACCAGGCTGGCCACTCGCCAGCTTGGCCCCAGCCACTGACCTCTCCTGAGTATACAGAGACAGCAGGGGAAGTGCCGAGCCCCCAGGACACCCCCCGGCCTCAGGTAGCAGCTGGGGGCCAGGTGTGGTCAGGCACAGTGCCCTACCTTGCCAGCTGGAAGTTCTAGCTCTCTGTTGTGTACAGAGTGGCTGGTTGGGGACTGTGGCTTTTGGCAAATTCTCAGCACAGAAATGTCCACCCACGTGCCGCACCAGTCAACTGAACCCCAGCTGCCTCAGGGGCCAAGCAACCCAGACTGCTGAGTAGCCTTCCCCAAGGACCTTCTGTCCTCCCAGACAGCACCCCCCAAACCAGACCAAACAGAGCCCAAGGGAGGACCCTCTCTGCTGTCCAAAGTTCACACCACCAGAGCTTGTTATCCTGGGTGACCCCGTCCAGCCCCAGGGAGAGGCGTCCACGTGGACAGAGGGAACATTCACAGAGCATGGCCAGTGAGGTGCTGATCATTGTCCATCTGCCCCAGGCCACTGGGAAGGGCTGGCTGGATTCTCCCTCTTTGGAGGGAGACCAGGGTGAGCCACGCACATCAGCTCATCCCGGGTGGGCCAGCTCAGGCAAGAATCAAGGCAAATGCCCGGGAGAGGGAGTTTCCTGAAGCCAGAAAGGAAGGTGTGTTTTCCATTGCCGGACCTGGTGTGGGAATGTGCTGTGTTCTGAATACGGAGAGTTCACACACACCACAGCCACAGCCTGGCTGACTCCAACACAGCTTTCAAAAGCGTTCTTTCCAGGGACTGACACCGTGGCATAGTGGTCTAAGCCTCCACCTGCAGCACCAGCATCCCATATGGGCACCAGTTCTAGTCCTGGCTGCTCCTCTTCCAAGCCAGCTCTCTGCTAATGGCCTGGGAAAGCAGTGGAAAATGGCCCAAGTGCTTGATCCCCTGTGCTCACATAGGAAGCCAGGAAGAAGCTCCTGGTTCCTGGCTTTAGATCAGCCATTGAGATCATTTGTGGAGTGAACCAGCAGATGGAAGATCCTTCTCTCTGTACCTCTCAGATAAATAAAAAAAATTTTTTTCAAAAAAAGTGTTCTTTGCTTGTGACTCAATGACAGGGTAGGTTGCAGTGGGGTGGCCTCTAAGAGCCCTGGCTGCATCACGGGCCAGCAGTGTGGGTGTACCTGGGCAGGGGTGTGGATGCACCATGAGGCAGGGGTGTGGGCACACCTGGGCAGGTGCCTCTCCATTCCTAGGTCACTTTGGGATACATTTCAGCTGAGCCTCGGCTGAGATAGTCATGTCCAATGGGACTGAATGAGCAGCAGGTGGAGGGCTCTAGCACAGAGCCAAGCCCTCTCCCCCTGCTCCCAGACCCCCCCCCACACACCTTTTCCCAGGACCCACCAAGCTCACTCCAGGCTGGGCTGGCTGTCAGGAGCTCACCCCCGGAAGCCGCCACGGGCATCCTCCACTGCTAATTCCTCTTCCCTTTGCTTTTCAGGAGTCAAGTTCAACATGAGACTGCAGCAGCCCGGCCAGGTAAATTCAAGTGCGGTCAATCTCAGCGCAAGGCCCCGGGAAAGTGGGGGAGGGCAGGGACAGAATTTTGGAGCTCATCTTGCGCCCATTCTGGGGAAGAAAGACGCAGCCAGCCCTTTCCAGCAGCCCTGGCAGCCAAGCCCAGGCAGTTGCCTTGGACCCATGAACTTCTATTCTGTGTTAGGTGGCGCCCGCCAACAATAGGAGACCCTTGGGGCCCCGGCTTCCCGCCGCCCAACCTGGCCAGGCCGAGGTTCCTGGGAGGACCGCGCCATCTTGTGGCCGAAATGACACCTGCGCTTCAGGTCCCCAACATGGACGGGCCGTGGCGCGCGGCTAGGAGGGAGGCCTTTGGGTACCGAGCAGGATCTCACCCCCTTAGCGGAGAGCCTGTCTCCTGCTCTCTCACTCCAGGGAAAACCCGGGCGTGGCGCAGGCTTGGCCCAAGTGACCCTCAGGGCCGCTGCCCTGTCCCCTCGGGTAACCACGTCTCTCCTCGCTCCAGGAGCCCCCACCGGGCCGTTTCCGGGATGGCGACTCGAGGGCACCCACGGCGAAAGTCTCCCGGGACTTGTCCAGCCGGGCCTCCGGGGGTCTTAACCTGCCGGCGCCGGACCAGCCCCCGCCGCACCTGCAGACCGGGGCCCGCTCGCGTGTCCGGCAGCGCCGCCGGCGGCTGCTCATCAAGAAGATGCCCGCGGCCATGGCCACCCCAGCCAACAGCTCGGCGGGCCCCGCGGTACGGCCGCTACCCGGAGCCCGCGACGGCCGTTGGGCGGTCCTGCAACGGACGCAGCAGGAGCGCAAGAGGCTGATGCGGGAGGCGTGCGCCAAGTACCGCGCCAGCAGCAGCCGCAGGGCCGTCACACCGCGCCACGTGTCGCGCATCTTCGTGGAGGACCGCCACCGCGTGCTCTACTGCGAGGTGCCCAAAGCCGGCTGCTCCAACTGGAAGCGAGTGCTCATGGTGCTGGCCGGGCTGGCCTCGTCCACCGCCAGCATCCAGCACGACACGGTCCACTATGGCAGCGCGCTCAAGCGGCTGGACACGTTCGGCCGCCAGGGCATCCTGCACCGGCTGCGCACCTACACCAAGATGCTCTTCGTGCGCGAGCCCTTCGAGAGACTGGTGTCCGCCTTCCGCGACAAGTTCGAGCACCCCAACAGCTACTACCACCCCGTCTTCGGCAAGGCCATCCTGGCCCGCTACCGCGCCAACGCCTCACGGGAGGCGCTGCGGACGGGCTCGGGCGTGCGCTTCCCCGAGTTCGTCCAGTACCTGCTGGACGTGCACCGGCCCGTGGGCATGGACATCCACTGGGACCACGTCAGCCGGCTCTGCAGCCCCTGCCTCATCGACTACGACTTCGTGGGCAAGTTCGAGAGCATGGAGGACGACGCCAACTTCTTCCTGAGCCTGGTGCGCGCGCCGCAGAACCTCACCTTCCCTCGCTTCAAGGACCGCCACTCGCAGGAGGCGCGCACCACGGCGCGCATCACGCACCAGTACTTTGCGCAGCTCTCGACCCTGCAGCGGCAGCGCGCCTACGACTTCTACTACATGGACTACCTGATGTTCAACTACTCCAAGCCTTTCGCAGACCTGTACTGAGGGGCGGGGCATCTCACCCGGGCGCAGGTGCGTCCTCGCCTGGGAACCGAGATGCACCTGCAGCCACAGGGCCGCTGCACCTGTTGCATGCAACAGGCCCGAGGTCTTGGGTGGGGACCCCGGCTGCTGTCTTGTACCTGCTTTCTCACTCCTCAGCTGGGGACGGTTCCTGGGGGCCACGAGGGGCACCCCAGCAGCTCAGCCAGCAGTTACAATGCCCAAGAGAGTCAGGACAGGGGGACAGGGGTCCCAGCAGCCGGGATTACCCCTGCGGTCCCTTAGCCAATGCCTTGAACCAAACCACGCGGTTTGCAGCTTTTCTACGATGGTAGGGGGGAGGGCACAGGTTCCAAATAAAGCACACGGTTTCCAGAGGCAGTAGTGTCTACACTGTGTGTTGCTGTGGAGACAGGGTCCCTGTCCCAGGACAGCCTGAAACAGGGCCCTGCAGAGGGGCCCCCGGGCAGGAGAGGCCTGAGTGGGAGGGGAGCCGAGGGGGCCCAGCACCTCTTATCCAGGGACCACCCCCCACCCGCCGCCTCCGAGACCAGGACCCCGTCAACTGGCCTCTCCCATCTCAGACCCAGTGTGACCATCTAGGGGGTGGGGGGGAGACCTGCGACCCTCCCCGACCCCTGAGGCCCGTGGGCATCATTTCTACCTGGGCCTCTTGGAAGCCCCAGAGGGTGCCAGCGCAGTGCTGAACTCTGGGCAAGCTGACCCTGGGCTCCATGGGGCCCTGCCTCTGGGTCTCAGTGGGTGCAGCTCAGGGTGACGGGGAGGGGGAGGGGTGGTCACGCTGTCCCTGGCTCTTTGCCCCTCTGGGCTAAGCAAGGCTTTGGCCCAGAGCTGTCACCTGCAGACCCCTGCCCCCTGGCACCTCAGAGGAGATGCCACACGGGAAACTTTTCCTCTGAAAGCAAGCCTTCTCCACACCTGAAATGCCCGTGGGATTGTCACAGTCAGGCCCAGGGGGAAGGGTGAGTGGCTGCGGCTGTGTTGGGGTTGGATTCGGGGGCTGGGGCGAAGTGCAGGCTCTCTGCTCTCTGTGTGGCAGCCTGCGCCTGCCAGGAGCCCCCGCGTGCCCTCCCGAGTCTTCCTGAGGGACTTCCGTGGTCCAGCCCAGGAGTGCCCCGTGGCCACAGGAGGCGCTGCTGGACCCTGAGGCACAGACACGGCCAGACCCAGCCAGGCTCACCACGCATGAGCCACTCCATCTCCCCTGCCTCCACGCTGGCCCCCGGGGACGCGCCTTGTCCGCAGGGGGCTGTGTCCACCAGGATCCTGAGCTGTGACAGGACCCCCTGCCCGCCCCAGGTGCCAGCTGGACGTGGCCTGGGTCAGAGACGAGACTGCACTCGGGGCCTGAGGGACTCCGGAACCCGGGGCAGGCAGGTGCCGGGAGGTTTAGAAAGCCAGCGAGGCCAGGCCAGGGTCAGAGTGAGAGAAGCGGGGATGGACTGGCTGATGGTGACCCAGGACAGCTGCCCCTTGGGCCTGGCGCTCATGAAATGAGACCGAAGAAGTGCCCCTGGCCGGGGTTGCATCATCTTGGGCGGCCTGAGGCGGGGTCTCGTGACATCTGCTCAGCAAGGGGACAGCTGCAGGCCCAGCTGGGCAGCCTGCAGGGTGGCTTTGCCAATGCTGCTACGGCCGGGAGGACAGACGGAGACTGCCCCGGGCCAGGCATGGGCGTGTGTGTGTGAGCGTATGTGTGTGTGCATGTAGGGGTGTGAGTTGTGGATGTTCGAGTGTACACACGTGAGCCTGTTTGTGTCAGCATGCTTGTGTGTGAGCGGGAGTGTGTATCTGAGTGTGCTGTGTCAGACACCCAGCCTGAGCCATGCACATGACACACACAGCGTGGCCGTTAGAGAGCGGTTATGTCTCTGGGTGTCCATGATCAGAATCACCCGATGGCCCCCAGGGTGACCTCTGCCTGAGTCTCGCCCCCCCCCCCCGAGGGCACTGAGGTGCAGGGGCCCAGCCCCGGCTCTAGCCTCACGGGCTTGGGGAGGGGTCTCAGCCCCAGCGTAGGAGAGTGGGTGTGGGTATGCGAGGGAGCGAATGTCTGTGTTGTTCGCACACATGTGTGTGGGGGGCAGGCAAGTCTGGGGTGAGGGGCGTGTGTACACGTGTGGAGGGATGCTGTGGACAGACCGCCTCCTCCTCTATCTCCTCCTCACCTCCCCTCCCCTCCCCCCTCCCCCTCCCCCTCCTCCCCCCCTCCTCTGTGGGATCTGCCCCCTCCTCATGCCGTCCACTCACCTGACTACAGTCCAGTGGGGTGGTCTGATCAGGGACCCAAGCGGGGACCACAAGCAGCTCCCGGGGTGTGAGGACCCCTTGAGTCCTGAGACTGCCCCAGGCACGGCCCTGCCCCTGAGCAGGCACAACAGGCCGCCCCCACCCAGGGTCCCCTATGGGGCCTTGAGCGGCCCTGGGAGAGGGGATTTGAGGCCCAGGCGGGTGGGCATGAGCGCCAGCCAAAGCTGCCTCCTCCCCTCTGTCCAGGTGCCTGACTACACAGGGCCTGTCCCAAGGCCCCAGGACAGGGCTGGGCAGGTGTGGGCGGGGAGACAGCCTCCAGCTCGCCCCTACTCTCCAGCGCCGCCTCTTTGCCAATTGATCCAGGGCGGTGGGGTGAGGGGAGCCCTTCGTGGGGGCCGTGAGGGCTGGGAGAAGCCGCCTCACTGCTGTCCTGGCCCCTACCCATGGCCACAGCCACTCAAAGGAGCTTCCTCTTGGGGTCTGTCCATCCATCCATCCCTGCCCCAAGCAGAGGGAGCCCCCCCCCCCGACACACCAGGGGTGGCAACCCACAGGGCGCAGGAACTGGGATGTGGTCTCACTGCTCCCACCTCTGGGGACCCGGGACTGAGGAGCACAGTGAGCCTCGGATGAGGTCCTGGAGAGCCTAGGGGCCACCCTGGGTGCGCGGACAGAAGGGGCCGCGGCTGCCCAGCCCCCGGCCCAGGCTCCCAACCCGGGGAGGACCGGCGGGGCGCTGGGCTCGGGCTCCGGGCATTGCCTGCAGGACCTTCGGCACAGGGGCTCAGCTGTGCTGCGGCAGCGCGCGGCGGGGGGGCTCCAGGCGCAGGGCTGTCGGCTGCCCCCGCCCCCCCCCCCCCCCCCCCGCTACCCCAGGAAGGGAGTGGGTGGGAGGTGGGCCGCGATTCCCAGAGCTTTTGGATCCTAGGACCAGGACAGCGGCCAGAAGGGAGTCATTCCCAGTCGAGGGCTCTGGCGGCTCGGCCACGTCGCCGCGGTGTGGGGTGCCGGCCGGAATCAGGCGCTGGTGACCACGACGCACAAGGTGCTGTGCCGGCCCCGACGCGCCCCGCCGGACGCGCCCCCGACCCCCAGCCACCCTGTTCCAGAGGTGAGGCACGGAGGCTTGGCCGCAGCTGCACGGCCGCAGGGGTTGGAGCTGGGCCGCCTCGCGTTGGTCTCACCGCTTGCCGCGGTCCCGGCGGGGAGCTGCGGTCTGGAGCGGGCGGGGGGCGGGGGCGGGAATGGAGTGGGAAGGGGGCAGTTCTCCACAGGCGCAGAGACCACCCGCAGCCGCCAGGTGACGCTAAGCCCCTGCTCCTGCGCAGCGGCCTGCTATCCCCGGCTGGGCCACCAGGTGGCAGCAACACCCCGACTTGAGCATCCCGCGGACCCGGAGAAGGCCGTAGCCGGCCTCCCCGCCACGGGGACACCCGGGCTTTGCCTGTCTAGTAGATCCTCTTCATTCCTTGCACCCACTCACCCCTCCAGGCTGCTGGACTCTCTCACCAGCGGGAACCATGGTCTGGCAGCCCCCTCCTGAGCGCGGGGCCAGCCCCTGCCACCACGGGCCCCCAGCCCTCACCCCCTTTCTGGCCTCAGGGAAGTCCCCCCTGCTGCCTCCCCACTGCACCTGCCCCTCCCTCTGGCACCACCACCCACACCCAGAGCGCACAAAGATGACGCCAGACTGCCCTGCTCTGCGTGTGACACTCCTGCCGACGCACGCCCTCGCCACCTTGCCGGACCCCCAGCTCACACCCCCCACCCTGGCCCCTAGGGCCCCCGGGGTCAGCTGCCCAGCCGAGGTCTCTGAAGGCCCGGCGAGGGGGTGCTGGGTCCTCACCTGTCCCACGTGGCCCTCCCGTGCCTCTCATTCCCCACTGGCCACCACC